TCAATGGTCCACGTGGGTGCCAGCCCAGCATAATTGCCAAACGCTTTCCTCCTGTCTGTTATTCACTCGCGAGACTTGAAACAGCATGAGCGCAATCTGGGCTACTGTCCCTAAGGCATTGCTGCACACCTAATGACTTTTCAAATCTTAAAAGACTGCTAAAGGTTTACCTTACATGCATTTCAATCCTTTGTCATGCATGGTGCACCTGAATTTGACGTTGAATGTCAGTAAATGCTTGTTTGTCGGTTAGCCAAACTTAGCTGGAATCGTCACAATTCAAACCGAATGAGAATGAAAAAGTCAGGAAGCTAGGATCCAACAATTGAACAATAGTGGGTGGCACGTCTGCCTTACACCTCCGAGGTTTAGGTTTGAATCTTAGCTTTGCCCCTTCTGTCTGGTGGTTGTGATACCTAAGACACAGTCAGCTCGGCTGGGCCAAGATCCAGAGACCCTTTCAACCAATGGCCAGACTACACTGTTAGCGTTAGCCTGTGATATGTGGCATATGCCGATTTGTTTCTGACTTCATGACGCTTGATGGTTTGTCATGCAGATTTTAAATCGTGAAATATGCAAACAATGACAACACACACAGAGTTACACACACGTATCTCTAAGCTGTACGAGAGCCAGAAATATGTTGTGACCATATTGCTAATTTGGCATTAAGGCAATGAGCATTTGCATATTCATCAGTCACACTTCTTTCAAATACACTCTGATTTTCTTAATGCTGTCATTTGGGTTTTGTCCTCTATCGTGCTTTCTGAACATATGGGGATTTTCCACCACAATGAGTTTTTTGAAAGGACAATACAGGCAGAATGTTTTTGTTGTGTCTCTCATCATTTTTGTGTGTGCGCGCCGCCACAAAGCTTTGTGTGCCGCGCAGCTGCTGCCTTTGAGTCAGTGCTACTAGAAGTGACGTCAAGAGCGCCCAGCGAGGCGTATTTCTCACTGCTTCGGGTTTCACGTTGTTACCATGGCAGCAGCTGCCACTTCCTGCCCGCCTGGGTCTTCCTGTGCTCATTCATTTTTTTTTTTGTAGTTACTCCAGATAACTGTTTACTGTTTATTCACCATATATGGTGCTTCATGCATGGAGGGTTCCCCCTTATCTGCCTGCACACAACAGCCATGTGCCATGCTCCCAAATTAAGCATTGAAAAGTGCAGCAATTTGCACACAATTATCACCATGTACAGATGCTAATGGTTAACTATTTAACACACAAAAGGAGCACAAGTTAAGTTTGGTGGTCTCTCATGAATGGCTCTGTCTGTAAATTGTTTCTTACCCAGTAGGAAGACTTTGACATGTCTCCAAATGGCTGAAGGGCATGTTAACATAACACCAGTTTAATGGAAACCAATTCAACAAAACTTCATGAAATGCAGAGGACTTTTTATGCAGTTTGCTGGATTTATTGAGGATGTGAAACTGTGGGCAAAAATAGACCACCATTCAGTTACTGCATCCACCCGGTCATTTTCTATTCCACTTTTGCTCATTGGGGTACGGGGGCCAAGCGATGTTAACGTAGTGGCTGTCTCATATTGACAAAATGGACTTGAAATCGCTTCTGTCGCTAAAGGAGATGGCCCATACGGAGGTCAAACCCATTACCGTTAATAGCACGATGCTTGAACCAACTGAGCTAACCGGCCACATACTCTTTTGAAGTCGGCCGACTACGGATGCAAACGAAGTCTGGTGGTGTATATGATCGCCAAGCAATGTTGACATTGGTCCTGGACAATCTTGATATGAGGGACTTGAAATCGCTTGAGCTCAGTCGCTAAAGGACATGGCCCGTACGGGGGTCGAACCCATGACCTTGGCGTTATTAGCACCACGCTCTAACCAACTGAGCTAACCGGCCACATGAACTTTCAAAGTCGCCGACTACGCATGCAAACAAAGTCTGGTAGTTACCATTGGATTGGTGGCAGCGTCTGGACATCGGACCATTTCAAACTCTACGCAAATAAAGGACACTGCAGACAGGTATGAGGGAAGCACACATGCTTGTAAAACTCTACCAAGACCACAGATGATCGCCAAGTCATGTGAGCGTAGTTCGTGTCTCATATTGACTTGAAATCACTTCTGTCGCTAAAGGACATGGCCCATACGGGGATCGAACCCGTGACCTTGGCGTTATTAGCACCACGCTCTAACCAACTGAGCTAACCGGCCACATGTTCTTCTAAAGTCGCCGACTACGCATGGAAACAAATTCTGATAGTTACCATTGGTGGCAGAGTCTGGACATCGGACCATTTCAAACTCTGCTCAAATGAAGTACACTGCAGACAGGGATGGGGCAAGCACACATGATTGTAAAAGGCAACCAAGACTGTATATGATCGCCAAGCGATGTTGTCATTGGTCCTGTCCAATTATGACATGAAGGACTTGAAATCGCTTGAGCTCGGTCGCTAAAGGACATGGCCCATATGGGGGTCGAACCCATGACCTTGGCGTTATTAGCACTACGCTCTAACCAACTGAGCTAACCGGCCACGTGCTCTTTTAATGTCGCCGACTACGCATAGAAACAAAGTCTGGTAGTTACCATTGGTGGCAGCGTCTGGACATCGGACCATTTCAAACTCTACGCAAATAAAGGACACTGCAGACAGGTATGAGGGAAGCACACATGCTTGTAAAACTCTACCAAGACTACAGATGATCGCCAAGTGATGTGAGCGTAGCTAGTGTCTCATATTGACTTGAAATCACTTCTGTCGCTAAAGGACATGGCCCATACGGGGATCGAACCCGTGACCTTGGCGTTATTAGCACCACGCTCTAAACAACTGAGCTAACCGGCCACGTGTTCTTTTAAAGTCGCCGACTACGCATGGAAACAAATTCTGATAGTTACTATTGGTGGCAGAGTGTGGACATCGGACCATTCAAACTCTGCTCAAATGAAGTACACTGCAGACAGGGATGGGGCAAGCACACATGATTGTAAAAGGCAACCAAGACTGTATATGATCGCCAAGCGATGTTGTCATTGGTCCTGTCCAATTATGACATGAAGGACTTGAAATCGCTTGAGCTCGGTCGCTAAAGGACATGGCCCATATGGGGGTCGAACCCATGACCTTGGCGTTATTAGCACCACGCTCTAACCAACTGAGCTAACCGGCCACGTGTGCTTCTAAAGTCGCCGACTACGCATGGAAACCAAGTCTGGTAGTTACCATTGGTGGCAGCGTCTGGACATCGGACCATTTCAAAGTGTGCTCAAGTAAAGTTCACTGCAGACAGGTATGAGGCAAGGACACATGCTTGTAAAAAGTGACCAAGAATGCATGTCATTGCTCCTGTCTGATCTTGACATGAGGGACTTGAAATCACTTGAGCTCAGTCGCTAAAGGACATGGCCTGTACGGGGGTCGAACCCGTGACCTTGGCGTTATTAGCACCACGCTCTAACCAACTGAGCTCACCAGCCACATGAACTTTCAAAGTCGCCGACTATGTATGGAAACAAAGTCTGGTAGTTACCATTGGATTGCTGGCAGCGTCTGGACATCGGACCATTTCAAACTCTGCTCAAATAAGGTACTCTGCAGACAAGTATAAGGGAAGGACACATGCTTGTAAAACTCTACCAAGACTGCAGATGATCGCCAAGTGATGTGAGCATCGCCAGTGTCTCATATTGACTTGAAATCACTTCTGTCGCTAAAGGACATGGCCCATACGGGGGTCGAACCCGTGACCTTGTCGTTATTAGCAACATGCTCTAACCAACTGAGCTAACCGGCCACGTATTCTTTCAAAGTCGCCAACTACGCATGGAAACAAAGTCCAGTAGTTACCATTGGTGGCAGCGTCTGAACATCGGACCATTTCAAACTCTGCTCAAGTCATACTTGTCTCTCTCTGCTCAAGTATGACTATTTCCAACTGTCCTCAGCCACCATAGTACACTTGATACGTCTGTGAACACTGGTTTAAATCACCTCCATGGACCAAGGCAAGAAATGAGCATTTGGCTGTGATAAAATCTCCATCTGCAGTGGAAAGTTTTTTTTTTTGTTTTGTTTTGTTTTTGCGTTTTTTAGCAAACTTTTTGGGGGGGCTGTGTTGACACGGTCAGCAGGTTCCTTGTTGTCTTTTGTCTATTTTCTGTTTGTACGAAGAACAGAGTGGCTCTCTGTTTGAGACATTACCTGGTGGATATTTATGCAGCTGTGAGGGGAACCTTTGATATTCTTCTCAGACACACACACTTGACTAGAGATGGCACACACCCATATGCGCACACGCACACGCACACACACACACACACACACACACACACACACACACACACACACACATTCACATACATGTCACAGTTGAGGGTGTTCAGCTGTCCAACGCCATCAGTGTGCCTGCGTCTGTGCGCCTGTGAGCAACCTCGCAGCTTGACCCGGCGACACGGCCCAGAGGTCATGGTTAAAATAAACCCTGCTAACTGTGTAAACAGGTTGTGTACACTCGCACAGACATATGGCACCCCCTCATCAAACGTCTGTGTGAAGGCATGGAAATCTGTTGAGGTTTTTTGGCGGGCTGATCGGAACAAAACTTTCATTACAATATCTGCCTTTACAAAAAGCCTTGTGTTCATTCTATTCAGCTATTTTCAATTGCATTTGTTCTTATTAGGGTTGCAGGTAAGCTGGAGCCTCGCTGAGCGAAATTGAGATATATTCTGGACAGGCCCCCGGCCAATCACAAGGCACATTGTTTTTATTGGCTGTTACATCTGCGAATTGATGCGATTTACCGGCTATTCACAGCAGAGGCAGAAGCTGATGGTCAACCGCTCAGAGAATGTAGTTGCTGAACCCCATACTGCGTTTCAGCCACATCGCTCGGTGCGCAGTGGGCGTTATATCAAACTATCCTTTGAAATAAATGACATTTGAAATGTCTTCATTGCGTGTTTCATTGCAATAATTTTAATTACAAACTAAACTCTGCTGTACAGTTCTACAAAATAACACACAATATGATTTTATGCCCTTGTGAGCAAATCTGCTTCACAATTCGGTGGTTCAGGGTTTGAATTCCAAGTTTAATCAATTAAAGACATCTTTTTTTTTTTTTTACAATGAAATGGAATACTGTTTAGAAACACAACTCATGCACGCCGATTTGTATATATTTTTTTTCTTTTAACAATGTTGCTATTTGAAGGCAATTAAAAAGTGCTGATAGGTAGGCGCAGTGTTTTGCTGTCAGCGAGTGGGACGAGGTGAACAGATATACAAAATGTCATGCCAAATTGCAGTGCAGCCGTCAGCATGCGTGACTGCTGCTGACGTCAAAAATAAAACAGCAATGGAAAACAACACGTGCTAACACCAGCATGACAGGTAGGCTCGCTTTGCTTTGCCGTGCGGATCCAACCCTCATTATGACAAGCAAGCACAACAACAATAACTGCACCCCGCAAGAGCTGCTGTCGCGTGCTTGCATCGCGTGTGTATGCGTGAAAAAGCAATGTGTCTTATCGGAGATCACACCAAGAAAACCCCCCAACTCTTTGGAGCTTCTCTCCATCCTGCAAGGAACCACCAGCTTTCAGTTAGTGGTGGCAGCTGAGGCAATCTCTCTCTCTCTCTCAGTACGAGTGCAACTCGCTCACCCATGTCTGTCAATGAAGACGGTTGAGTGCGGAGGCCGAGAGTGACAGCGAGAAAGAGGCAGCTACTTCTCAGAAGAGGCCTCCTGACAGTTGCAGTTTGACTGGAAGTCATGAGATGGTTTGCAGCGCCTGAAAAAAAAAGTGCCACATGAGACGACGCATGTATTTATAATCAAGTCGTTTTTATTTATGTACCGTCAATTCTCAACGCAAGGCGTCTCTTCACACCTTTAAAAAAAATACCGGCTGCAACTTGCGAAGAAAACCTCTGGTGACGCTGTCAAGGAATAACTCCTAAGGATGAGAACCCCAACGTGCATAAAGAGCGTAAAGCGAAGAGGAATAAATGGAGGCATGGACAAGCATGTGACTTTACAGTGGTTACCTTTTTTTTTTTTTTTTTTGTTACACGTATGATCAGAAGAATTTCAACAAGTGAGATGTGTTTGTGACTCTCCTGTCTTATTTGTTACCAACTAGAGTGGGTGAACTTTTATTGACACTTGTATGGCAAGAAGCAGTGTTAAAAAAAATAGGCTCCACAAATCACCTTACACAATAAAAAATGAATAAAACAAACTGTGCCCCCAATCGGCTTTTTTGGAGGTGTCCTGTTTTGACCAAAACCTTTTTTTTAACTCCATATTTTCTCCTAAGCCTAGCTTTCCCCAAAGTGAATAATTTTCGTAATACAATAAATACTAAATTTCAGCGATATCAGGCCACCGACAACGAAGCTCGAATAGTTCCACACCTGCTGTGGTTGATGTCAGCACTGCAAACAGTTTTAACGTGAAGGTTTACTTGACATGCACAAGTCAGGCCTTCTTGGCTTTTGAGGCCTCTTCCTTTCATGTTCAGTCCGACTTCAAATCCCGCCGAGTTAAGCTCACTCTTCTCGACCTTCGCACTTAGAAAAGTCAGCTGGCGGCGCCGACTCGGAAACACGTTTAACCGCTTGCACGTGTCAGGCTTCATGTTTTGATTCACCTTTGTTGCAGAAAAAAACATGCCTTGCCGTGTGCTCTTCATCATTAGATCATTTATAGTGTATGACCAAATTATGGCACAACAGTAATTACCAACCAACCAAATGTCTGGTTTTGGTCTTCAGGTGTTATAAACCCAGCTTTGACGAGACAGAAGTTATGGATGTTGCCATAGGGACGAATTTATCAGAACTGCTAAGCACGTGAATCTTGCTCACCCCTCCAGTCATTGCCAACCCATTCTGAGACAGACCCAATGATGCGCAAGAGTCAGTGACACTTTTGGATGACTTCCTTTTCCTATTTCGTGTCAGTGCCTTTTGTACAGAACAGAGACATGGAAACAAGGTGGAAAATTGGTTCTGTGCAGGCAGTCAAAAAATGGCTACACAGATGCTGTCCAACCTCATTTAGAGCGAGCCAGTGATGCAACCAGGGAAGAAGGAAAATTGGCGGATGCACTATACAGTACATCCCTTCATTCCGTGCCGATGCCGTCTATACTATGACATTGGGGGGGGCTGCTTTCGTATGCAGTGTAAAATGCAATCCAAAAGCACCATCTGGCCTGTATTACTGATCAGATACTGCCTGTCAAGCCAGGGGCATTTCTTTCGTCAGAGGTTTAGGGATGGATGTGGAGCTCCCGATCAGGCAAGATACATTTCATTGTTTTGTACATTTTAACCCAATTTCGATCCCACTCGTTTTTGATACAACACCTCAAGATAATCATTAACGGTACTCTACCAGTATGCATTTTTTTCGAAGTAAACCAGCCTCCAAATAGTAAAATACCAAAAATTGACTTTTATATAAGATGCAGTTTCCAACATATTAACAGAACATTACTTTTGTGAATAATTTGAACAGTAATACAGTATATAAACTCCTCTCTTACGGTGTCCTCTCGTGTCCTAATTACTGTACAGTAGTTAACAATGGGCATGGCATCCCGTCAGTTAGCTTGTAAGTCACAACTTGCCTGGAATATTAACACATGCGCAGGATACAGCACCTTACGGAGCCCCTAATGGGACTTGGAAGGGAAAAAAACTAAAACTCCGTAGCACCTTGCTTGAAACCTTCTGTCATTTCTTTACAGAAGTGCAGAAGCTACAAAAAAAAAAAAAAACAAAACAAGTGCTCATCCTGCATTGCTAGCTATTGGCTACTCTACCCGCCTGTCGGTGGAACAAACCATTTTTGAGGCAAGTGGGGGACTGCTGTAATTCTGTTTTAAAATATGCGTTTTGATAAAGTACTGTATGTTAATGTATTTTTCCAGATAGTTTATAAAGGCTATACAAAAAACACTCATGCTGGGATACAATTTAGGTGATCTTGCCCAACCCGAAACGCCAGTGTCAACCTATTGTTATAATTCATGTTACCATAGCAATCGTTTTATTAAAACCTTGCGCGCCTGCACAAGCAAACGTGGTATGCTCCAGTCATTAAAGGTAATAACGGTAAAATAATATGTAATCAATCCAATACTTCCTAATTTGATTCGATCACATTACTTGAATAAGTAGACTCTCACATGAAATCCTAGACGGAATAACAGCTTTCGCTCAATGTTATCAAATGCAGATGGAATGAGCACGCATGGATACAAGCTTGTATTCTCATTTTGGATTTTTTTATTTATTTATTACCTAAAAAAGAAAATGTTCTATCACAAGTCACACTGAAATGTATTGCTTAAGAAAAAAATATATTCATATATATTTTCATTTTTTCTTTTTTTTTTTTGAGAAACGTGGTTTGTTTCCATTATATTTCCATCAACAGAAGAAAAAAAAATCCAGACATGGGCAAGAGCCGCTGCCTTGTTCCCCCCCCCCGCCCCACCCCACCCCCCACTTAAAAAATGCACAAAGAAATACGTAATTCACAGTAACCATTTTGGTTTCATAAATTAATACAGTCACGCATGTGCTACACCGGTCTAGAGCTAGAACATTGTAAATTGTAGTCTTGAATCTTGTTTAATTTCAATCGTTGGCTACAAGTAAGAACAGGCAACTGAAACTGTTGTGATCTGGAATTTCATTGACGTGATTATTATTTTTTTAAATCCCTCTGTAATGCTCTATCATTTTTTTGTCATCTTTTTCAATTTCACACAGAAGTGAGGCACACACACAGAGTATAGTTCATACATATACAAAGGGAAAATAAATAGAATTTGACAAGGGAGTGGAGGGACGGGTGGTTGAACTGTCCTTTTGGTAATGATGGATCCAAGGAAAAAGGAAGTGCATGTGGTCCTCATAGGACCTTTCTGGCTCTTTTGTGCCAACAGTTCAAATTTAGCCTCTTTTTTTTCCTTTCTTTTTCTCCCCCAGGGACGTGAGGTCGGAATGACGACGTGAAAACGAACTTTTCATCGACACTGCAAGGGCAACATTTTAAGGCACAGAAGCCTTGACATAATAGAGTCTCCACCAGCTAGAGAACACAAAACAACGCATGCCCCGAGTCCTTGGGGGACCTTGCAAAATGGCCCGGCATTTATCCGCGGCGACTTTTACACAGAGCCCAGCAAAGGCAGAACAGATCAGTGCCGTCTTTCATACGACCCCCATATGTGGAACATTGATAGTTTATGTTGTCCCCTAATTAGAGTTTAACCCTTTCATGCACAAAAAATGATAAGCTGTCCACTGCAGTAACCGCTGTTCCTGAAAGAGTTAAACACAACACTGACAAGAAAGAGGGCGGGGGGATTTTACAGGTAGATACTACCTCTGAAAAGGTGGAAAATTATGGAGCATTTTAACAGAATAAAATTACAAAATTTGCACACGTTGGAAAAATGGCTACAGGGGACAATTCCATGTTAGTTTCTCAACAGTGACATGGAAAAGAAGATGGGAAAACATCAGCTTTTTCAGGCAGATACTCCCTCAGACAGTGGACCACTATCACTTTAGTACTTTGTCCGCCGATTCAATGTTGCCGCTGTTTATACAGAATGAGATAAACGTGGAAAAAATGCTGTCGTTTATACAGACAATAGCTCCAAAAAGGTAGAAAACTGCCAAATCCACTTTCTATTTCGGTTACGTTCATGCACAACAGTTGACATGGAAGGGTGGAAAAACTCAGCTTTTGTGTGGTGATACCACCTGAGAAAAAGGAAATCTTGTCAAATTGACTTTGTCCCCACATTCCGTGTTGGTCATGTTTTCGCACAAAAGCGACACGGAAAAGCAGGTCAAACAATACCAGCTTTTACATGCAGTGCAAAATGGCGCAATCCAAGGTCTGATACTACCTCCAAACACGGAAAAATTGCCGGGTCAGACATTGTTCCCTCATTCCTTGTCAATCATATTTCTACACAGCGGTGACACTGAAAGAGGGCGGGAGAACACTTTTACTGGCAGATCCTAGCTCCTTTGTGGTAAGTTCGGCTTTGCACCCCCTTTTCCGCATCTGTGCCTTTCATATATAAAGGGGCGGGAAAACACAGATTTTTACATGCAGCGTAAAATGGGCTACACAGGTGCTGTTCTGCTGTTATTACTTCTGGGACATCAAAAAGCGCAAAATGGCTGGGTCTGATTTTGTACCCCCATTCCGCGTCATTTAAAAGGAACAGCAACACAGAAAGGCGGCGGACAAATGAGGGCTCTTACAGGAAGTGCAAAAGGGGTTATGAAAGTGGTGCCGTGATGACAAATTGTTCGTTTCAAAACAATCAGCAAATAAACCATCCCGTCCCCATTGTTCCCAATTTCTTAGTGAAAGGTAAGGCCACTTAACAAAAAGATGAGGTTCACCCCCCAAAAAAATGGTAATCTCTCACTGCAAGCTCTTTGGAGTGCAATCGTGGCAGGGCGCTCGATAGTTCGGACAAAGTTGCGTGGAAAATGTTCCGCTGGTTCCTCGAGTCTCCGCGAGTGCGTCCGTACGTGATCCTCGGTCTCCTGGCGTGAAAGAGGGGGTTGGGGGGGGCTTCAAAGTTTTTAGTTTGGGGTGTTGTGGGGGAGGGAATTGGCTCCAACTTCATTGTCACATAACAGGAATGTTCAGTGGAGGGCACACTTAACTTCATCTGTTCTGGTTTGTTGTTAATACTTTCATAGGATGTCTTTTTTTATCTCCCCCAAACACATACAAGTAAAAATTACAAAAACCTTAACAACAGCAGCACTTTTTTTTTAATTTTCATCAGAAATTCATGCATGTGAACCTCCACCTCTGCTCTTCTTGTTCCATTTCATCACCACGTCATCCGCATGCACAAAAACCCTTCCTGACACTTTTTTTTTTTTTTGCAATTTTTTTTTTTTTTTTGTCAAGTGTGTAGCAGCAAAACTGTGATATGTTCATGGATGTCCCGGTGGAGGCACTAGGTAACACACCGATCACACTTTTCCCCCCCACACTTTGCCAATAAAAACAGAATTGTGAGGACGACTCCATATGGTTGTGAGGGTTGGGGGAATCCTTTGCCAAAACTTGGGAGAACAGAAGGGGTGGGGGACGAGTAACATACACCCGAATAAAACTTTGCCAATCGCCACGTTTATGTACACAGTCTACTTGGGTTGCGAGTTGCGTGTCGTTATAACGCCATGAACCACAAAAATGAATGAACGACTGAATGGATGTTTATTGGTAGTCAACCACAAAGCCACGAAGGGCTGCTGCTTTTGGAAAACAGCAAGATAGGAATAGAAATAGAAAATAGATTTGTTTTGTTTTTTTTTTCTTATTAAATGTCATCATTTGCTTTTGTAAAGATTTTAAAATCCCCCCATCTAAAGCACTTTCTGTTCATCCTTTTACCACTCCGATCACTGAGGTTGATATCAATACTTCCATATTATTTCTGCACACTTGTTAGAAATCAAAGATCCTGTGCAAATCACCGTTTTGAACTGTTCTATGAAAACCTGAATGCTTTGTGAACAATGCTACATCTTCTTTTCTGCTTTATAAAATAGTATGTTAAAAAAACAAACAAACAAACAAAGGACAAAACAAGACATTGAACCAGCCTGTAACAGGTCAGAAGCGGACTGCTCGAGTGAGTTTGGAGATCAGTGATGAATGCCCGTCGCAATATTCCAAAGAGTTCGGCAGCTTTGCCATTTGGGGGAGGGAGTTGGGGGGGGGGGGTATGGGAGAGAACACTGAGGCATCTGGTGCTTGTGTCCTGTTGGGGAAGTCCACTAGGCGCTCTTAGTCACTGTCCAGAGTGCGCCATATCACACGCACACATGAAAACGTTAAGAAAAAAAAATAAAATAAAATACCACCACCACTCACGGAATTCTACTTTGCTCAAATTCAAGGTTTTATCTTCAGTCCAAATCCAAGCATCAGACAGTCATGTTGCTGCAAAGTATGATGGGAGCGAAGTCTGCAAGGAAGGGCCTTTCCTATCAAGTTGCCAGTGACAAACTCCCTCAAACTTTGCTCGGCGCGTCCTTCCTCCTCTCAGGCCATGACGAACTCGGACTTCAAGTCGGCCTTGACGTCGGGCTTCCACACGGAGTCGTCAAAGTCCAGGTCCAGGGAGCCCTCGCTGGACATGCTGCTGTTGCTGTTGCTGCGGCCCGCCTTGCGGTTGGGCAGCCAGTGGTAGGGGCCCCGCTGGTCCCGCCGGGCCTTCCGGCTCAGGCGCTTCTGCTGCATCAGCAGCTGCAGACGCTCCACCTTGCAGCGCGTGGCGCGGTTCTCCGTCTGCCGGACTCGGTCGCCTGGGTCGGGAGAGAACAAGACAAAGTTAGCCAAGAAAACTCACACATGGTTGAAATACTCAACAAAAACATCCATAGCAAGATCGGATTTTGGTTTCTAGTCTGGTTGCCCGTTCTCGTTCTTGGGGGAAGAATGGGATATTATTATTCCTCAGTAGGGTGCACAGTGCATTTAAGCACCCAAATTTTAAACCAAAAAGCAAAAAAAGAGAGAAAAAAAATCTATAGAAAAACTGAGCACAAAAGGGTTTGTCATGGTAACAGTCAAATCTACTACACATTTATTTATTTTCATGTTTAGTTCTAGCACTAACCAAACACTGATAATCCAAAAATATCGTGAAAGTGTCAAAATGATAAGTTCACTTTCAACTTTTTGTAATTTTGCAGTTTTTGTAAAGTTACAAAAATGGAATTTGTAACAAGGGCAAAATACAGATGTCAGAATAAAAATATCTTTTGGTTATAAAAGGAGTCATTCATTTAAAAAAAAAAAAAAAAAAATTGGGAACTGAAAATTGAAAATCAAATCCTACCGGTGCTTGAGTGAATCGTTATATCCCTAATATGTAAACAGAAACAAACACTCACATTCTGCACGTGTGTGTGTGTGTGTGTGTGTGTGTGTGTGTGTGTGTGTGTGTGTACGTACGCACACACACACACTGTATACAGGGCTCGCAAGGAAGGTGCATGTAACCACAATCTATTAGTCAGTTCCATTACTGTCTGTCCGGGAATTAAATAATGAAATAACGGGCTCCCATCCGGCATCACATATTCCCGTGCACGGACGCACGCACTCACGCACACACAGAGAGCAACAGCCGCAGTAGCTTTTAACGTGGATCGATGGCAAATTAAAAAGACCTATTGATTAAACCTTAGCTCTAGTGCAGCCATCCATCTCAGGCTCAGGACAACGCTATTGGCTTTCAATAGAAAATGCAAGCGAATGGAAATTGTACTCTGTGAGAGAGTGCGAGAGAGAGAAAGGGAGATTGGGTTTTTCTTCTATCTTTTTTTTCTTCCTTTATGGCTTCCGACTCTCAGCTCATTGAACCAGAGCCCCCCCACCTCCTCCCCATCACACCACCTCCCTCTTCATCTCTACCCTGGTCCCCCCCCTTTTGCCTCCCCAGGGCTGCTGCTAGGTGGGGCAGTGTGAGGAAGGGCACTGAGAGGGGAGGGTTAAGGAATTCCTCCCCAAGGGGCAGAGCGTGGATGGAGGGCGGAGGGTAAAGGATCAGCCGTTGGTGGCAGTTTTTCCAATCGATTCTAACCTCCTTTGCTCTACCTCCATCGGAATGACTTGTGGACCCAGCGTGGGCTTCATTTGCCTTCCCCGTGAGCGTTTTTCCTCCGCCTCTGTAAATACGAGCCACTGTGAAGAGGAAATTTGCTGGTATTGGGTGCTGAAGATCGGCAAGGATGTTAAAATGACATCTCGAAGGAAAAGAGCAGGAGGGCTCCTCGATTCAAACCGGTGTTCCTCTAGCCCAGCTCTATTAACTTCCATCAATTTCGAGGATGAAAACAGGTTTCCTCAAATATATTGGACCCCCGTATACTCACGCCCTAATACATTGGAGCACGGTTTTCATTCCCTCTGTGGTCCCCCTAGTTCCCACTTGTGTGAAAAGCATGGCAAGCACTTTCAATTCTACTTTCCAAAAAGCGGTCGCGAATACAACAAACAGTATAAAAGGCAGTTTGATGATGCTGTAGGAGGTCTACGGCCTTTGGCTTGGCAAGAGGTTTGGGAATGTGCTTGGAGCACCATCAAAATGAGTGCGAGTGTGTGTTTGCGTGCAGGCTTTTGTCTGTGTGTGTGTGTGTGTGTGTGTGCGTGTGTGTGTGTGTGCGTGTGTGTGTGTGTGCGTGTGTGTGTGTGTGCGTGTGTGTGTGTGTGCGTGTGTGTGTGTGTGCGTGTGTGTGTGTGTGCGTGTGTGTGTGTGTGCGTGTGTGTGTGTGTGCGTGTGTGTGTGTGTGCGTGTGTGTGTGTGTGCGTGTGTGTGTGTGTGCGTGTGTGTGTGTGTGCGTGTGTGTGTGTGTGCGTGTGTGTGTGTGTGCGTGTGTGTGTGTGTGCGTGTGTGTGTGTGTGCGTGTGTGTGTGTGTGCGTGTGTGTGTGTGTGCGTGTGTGTGTGTGTGCGTGTGTGTGTGTGTGCGTGTGTGTGTGTGTGCGTGTGTGTGTGTGTGCGTGTGTGTGTGTGTGCGTGTGTGTGTGTGTGCGTGTGTGTGTGTGTGCGTGTGTGTGTGTGTGCGTGTGTGTGTGTGTGCGTGTGTGTGTGTGTGCGTGTGTGTGTGTGTGCGTGTGTGTGTGTGTGCGTGTGTGTGTGTGTGTGTGAGAAAGAGAGAGAGAGCGAGAGAGAGAGAGACCATTCATCAGCGTCACTACCGGAGCCCTGGGCGGCTGGGCCGGACACAGCTGGCCACAGGGATCTCCAGTCTATGTTTATGACAGTGGGTCTATTATTAGGGCTGGCTAAGACACACGCACGCACGCACGCACGCACACACAGACACGCGCATTCATGCTGGCTGGCTCAGAGCCTGACTGTAGAGCTTTGACGTGAGCACAATAACCTTGGAGGGCCCAAAGAGAAGTAGGAAGCGAATGGGAGAGACAAACAATTCCATTTTGTCCCCTCATGCTTTGACAGAAGCCCAGCCCAGAAACAAGACCAAAGGCGGAGATAGAGAGAAGGCCGGCAGAGGGAGGAGGTGCAGGGTAGGGTAAAAGAAAAGATGGGGTGCCGAAGACAGGACACAAAAAAATTGAAGTTTCTCTTATAGAGCTAATGTTGCGAAGATTTATTTGTGACGAACACACTATTTGCTAAGAGCGCGTCCATTTAAGACAAGGGAGTTCAATCAGGTCTTTGTCTTTCAGTGTCAGAAGTTGTCCGATACCCCGACACCATTCTGTACCCTCCATCGATAGGGTGGAGCAAGGCTGCTGTCTGTCGATTGGTCGGCAGAGCGAAGTCACTCGGGAACGGAATGGGAAGACCACAGAAATGTTGGATGCCCTCTATTGCTGTTGTCCTTTGTTTTACAGTGCCCTCTTCTTTTGTGGAAATTCTTGGCAGGTTACACTGAGGGTAGTATGAAGTTGCTAAATGCAAGCCGGATCAGGCTGATTTACTGTTCTGTAAAAATTGAGCTGTTCTGCTTGAGAGCAGAAAAGCTTCGACGTACTGGTTTGATTTGGTTTGGTTGACAAGACCAAACAAAGCTGCATTCATTTGAACTGGCAGTAAGAGCTATCATGTCTGTAAATTGTCCATCATTCCAGGTAAGTCCTTGTCCACCAAATATGAATGTTGTGGCAGCAAGTGAAAGGCCGCTGGACGCCCTGTCGTGACGCACGCTCTTCAACGACTTTTTAAGACTTCATTTGCATTATCCCTTCTTCTCTGACGACAATGAAAGGGCACCTGATGTACTTGATTGGCTTTTCGCTCGATAGCGCCGCGTTGTACTGCGTCACCGGTCGCTGAGCCGCCGCCGCACGTGTGAGCAGCGTCTTAGCGACGGATAACGGGTGCGGCGGAATCGGTTCAAGCCGGTCGGATCTTAAACGCAGAGAGGCGGAGATCTCGGGATTTTTCCTCACCCGCCCTTCTCGTCTGGCTTCCCCGGGACGCTAACATGACCTGACAAATCTAAAGGGGAGAAGTGGGGGTGAAGAGATCCGGAAGGGGGGCGGGGGGTGGCGCAGGAGCTTTCAGCTCTATTCTGTGGGCCTATGTTGAACTAAGGCAGCTGCAGTGGGAAATCTACTCCACAATGGCTCAGCCCGGTGCCCTGTATGCAGCCCCTGTCCCTGGCCCCTACACAATGGCTTTGGCTGGACAGGGGGGCCGGAGGGAGGTCCACCCTCCCCAGTTATGGAATTTATCTAACAATCAGCCTGCCAGGCTGCGAGTCCTGAGCTGAAACAAAAATCTTCAAACTCAGCAACTCCTTTCACCGGAGCCACGAAAGCAAACTTTTTAACCAGGCGTTTGAGGCCGAGCACGTCAAGCTCTTTTATTCACGCTTGTCTTATCCTCCCCGCACATGAACTTGCAGTGGAAAAGGGTAAAGGCTCTCTGGAGGGAACCCAGCTATGTGACATTTTCAAGAGGCTGTCTCGAGTTTAAGTGTGTACACATACTGAGGCGGACGCCACAGACTGGTTAGTCCTGCAGCTGAATGAAGGCAGGCCTCTGTGAAGTCGAGTTAAGCCGTAGTGTTAAGTCCAGTAAGTCATCCGTCAGGTGCCGGCAGATAAGGCCGCCTGAGCATGCTAAAACATTGGCTTCCGTGGGACGCCGGGCGGAACAGGATGCAAGCGGCCACAAAGAGACCAGGGTTCATTGTATCAGTGAGCCACACTGGGTTTGATTCAGCTGGTTTCCCATTCATATCAGTTCCCAGAAGTTTCGATGGTGAGCAGGAAGTTGGGGCGAGGACTGTAAAGTCAAAACAGGGGAACGAGACAAGCTTTTCTTTCACTCGTTCTTTTTGTTTTTCCTCCGCTGGAAGCCACTGGTCAATTTGTGGGCAGTTGGGCTGGCTAATGGACAGGATTTAACACCCATACAAAGACTGACACTTTAGTGTTGTGGTTTTAACAACCACCCCGGTGCTGAAGTTCAGAATAAATCTATTTAAAGGCCAAATGAATGTACAGTATTGATGCACAACACAGGCGGGGAAAACGAGGCTGAATAGCAGGAAGATGGACAGATGGATTTTACAGGCGAGACTGTTTTTGGACGGCGAATGGGGGGGGGGTGGGGGGGGGCATTGCGTGGGCTGTGGAGTGCAGATGTACAGACAGGACAAGGGGAGGGTGCGAGTAAGAGGGGTGGAGGCAGTGAGGGAAAGGTCTTCCCTAAGTTAGGAAAATAAGCCTGTGTTTTTCCAACTGTTCACTGGACACTTGCGAGGGCATTGGGGTTGATACAGGGGATGCTGGACTGACTGTACATTCAGTCAGTCAGCTGCTAAAACTGAACCTCTATTCTGCTCACGCAAAAGCAAAACATTCAACAAGATTCACTGCGTCTCAGGACCGAACCCAGCGGACTACTTCACCAAACTCCCATTTCCCCGACAGGAGATAAGGAGGCCCCCGCAAGACAATGCTGTTTTCTCTTCGTAGAACCTTACAACACTAGCTCAATGTTATCTGTGCTGGACATCTGTCTGACACTCCAAATCTGGTTTCTCCGGCCGGAAAGGTGCTTTTAAAGAGTGTCATCTGAACTCCAGCACCTGCACTAGGCCCTGCCCTTGGGCATGGGTATGTCCGATGTTCGGTCCATACTAGCCCTGACCTGCACACATCCCTGTTGTCTTAAAGCAGCCGAAGCCTAATCTACTCTAAACATAGCGTTGCCTGGGGTGGAAGGGGTAAACCTATCTCCTTGGTGCAGTAAAATAAAGCCAACTTGCTGTGTGACAGGCTTGCATTGGATCGTATTTCTTAGCAAAGTAACCCCTTTCCCTCCATATTTCATCAAAGGCTACACCGACTGTCAAGGTTAAAAAAATTCTACTTTGTCTTTGACATGTTATCGAGGCAAAAAAAAACCCCAAAAAAGCTGCTGATCAAGAAAACGATGAACTGGAAATGAACACACATTCTTTCAAGGCAGCAGCAGGAACATCTGTGTCATGAGTGCTTCAAAAGGATGCGCAGTGAATTAATGCGCCTGTGATTCCGTGTCACGCTTCCATGCGCAGTCACTCACCAGGGGGCTTGCACATGCGGATCTGGCTCTGGCACTGCACCAGCGGATGAAGGGTCGGCGGAGGGCTGCTGGGGTTGCCGGCGGGCACCGAGGTAGCTTTGGCTGAGAGTCCCGTTGTGCCGACGACTGGGGGAGAGGGAGGCGGCGACGGGGACGGCGAGCTGGGCGTGCCGCACTGGGTTTGGTAACGGAGCTGGGTGAGGGAAGGCGGCATGCCCTGGTAATGGCGTGTGGCGCTCAGGAGGTCGTTGAGAATCTGAAGGATGGTACCGATATCTCGTCTGGGGCGCCCATTGCTGTCCTGGCAGTTAGGGTGCAAAGTGCCTGAGAAGAGAGGAGACAAGAGTATTGCAGCACATGTTTCTAAATATAGCACGTGCTGGCACACTCAAGTGGCGAGCGTGCATGTTTATTGCTCAGAGCATCAATAAATCTCACCTGAAAAGGTCCCTGAAAAGACTCCAGGAGCGTGGTTCACGAAGCTCTCAATGATGGCGCCAGGTTTACGGGAGCGCGCTGATGAACTCGTGCCACTACTGGGGCTGTTGGTGCTGCAGCTGGCCTGGAACAAGAAAATGTGAGCAGGGTGAGTCTATCTTCATGTGTAAAACAGTTTCGTGGAAAAAAAGATTTGGAGTAGCCAATGCTAAGTGATATTTATGTCACGATCAAAACACGACTAGAAATGTACGTAAAAAGCAATAGGATCTGCGGCTCAGACTACGCACCAAAATGACAAGGCATTAAGTTACCGCAAAGGCCAAATTTGGCAATTTCGGCAACTAATTGGATATCCAAGAGTGAAAGTCAAACTGCTGGGAGTTTAGTTACTCCAAACCAGATCTGGATTTCTAGCGCAGGGAAACAGCATTCCCACAGCAGTGCTGTAGAGCTTTTGGGGTGTTTTGGTCAAGTAACTTTGATGAAAAGCAATCCTTACAGGCGCAAAACAAACTTCGGACTGCGGTGGCTACGTTACTGGCAAGCAATAAGATGAGTTGCAGGCTTACCTCAGGGCACAAAACAGGGGCTACAGGGCTGGCTTGGCCCATGTTGTGGCTGGCCTGGCCTGAGGAAGGCTGGTGGTAGTGGTGGTGGTCTCGCAGGTGATGTGGAGGAGACCGGAACAGACTCCCGGGGACATGTGACGTGCGAGGAGAGCGAGCGGGAGGGGGAGGAGGAGGGGTGGCCGGGCTGCAGTGAGGAACGGACGATGGGGACTGGTGGTACATGGGGGTCAGGGACTGTTGGTGTGTGGGGGGAAGAGGGAAAGTTGAGGTGCTCGCGGAAGAGGATGTGGAGGGGCCTGGCTGAGGCAAGTTGGGGCTGTGTGGATGATGAGGGAGATGAGAGTGCGGTTGAGGGATACAAGGCTGTCCTGTGGGCTGGCCCGCTGTGGCATCCGAGTTGCCCCGGGTGATAAGGTGCCTGTGCTGGAGCTGCGGACCGCCCGACTGCTGTGCTGCCAGCTGGAGCTGGACGAACATCATGTGATCGCCCACACGGAGCGCCAGCGTGAGGGGGGAGCGGCCGGACAAGAAGTCGCTGACCTGTAAATGGAAAGAAAAAAAAGATTTGTTTTCAATACATCGCCAATGAGCTAGTTAGCTGCAGAGTTATGGACTGAACAACAATAAAAACACTGCAAAAAGCTTCACTTGTCATTAGGGAATGCCAAAAATGTAAGGAAACAGACATATTTAGACCCACAATAACCCCACCCATAACCTGATACTCGTTGGTTGTCCATCCGCTCTACAGAAACTGAAGTGATGGTTGTCCAATTGCTCGTTATTACGCCGCTCCACTAAACGACTCGGTTCAAAGTGAGTCTGCCAAATTGTAATGGACTCATCCTTGTCCCTTGCCCTTTTTCCTCAGGTTAATCATCACTGGGATGCCTCTTCCCAATAACCTGACTGTGATGAATACAGCCTTATTAGGAGACTCAAGAGAGAACTGTTGCAGTCAAAAAAAAAAAGCGAGAAGCTCCCCTGCGCGTCCACTTCCTCTTCTGTCAATGAACAGTGGACAACCGTTGAAGCACAAACAACAGAGCTTTGAGCTCCCCACTCTCACGGAGACACAGACGCACCACATTCGCCCAATCCCGCAATCAATCACCATTCAGTAACACTTGGCTATTTACATCTGCTGGATGAGGCCGACTGTTCGAAAACACACAAACAGAGCCCACTCTCACTCGCCTCCCACTGCCCTTGGGCCCGTTCTTAGTCAGCAGTGTCATTCAGTGCTGGGACAAAAGCCACCCTTCTCTCTGGCTTAGGGCCTGAAAAATCAGTCCTACATCCAGGAAATACACCCCACTCGCATCGCACGCATAGAATGAACAATTGTCTGTGGCGGATTTGGAAGGGATGCCCATTTTTGGAGCACTCACAACAGCAACGGAGGCCAAACGGCTGTGTGTGTGTGTGTAGAAGGGGATTCACTGACCCACTCGTAGCCCGGATGGACACACAAGAATTCCACACAGACACAGCCGACTTGTCACAACTTGGCTAGAGGATTCGCATGAAACAACAAGACTTTAGTTGTGCTGGGCTCTGCGTTCATGTGACTTTGCTGCATCTTTTTTGCTGAAATCATGCGTGCATGCGACTGCGTTTTATTCTGAGAGTCGCTCAGAGGGCACAAAGCTTTCCTAGCAAGGCTTAACAGTCGCAAATGCATAATGATGTGTCTGTCCAATAAGGTTCAACATCAGCAACTGCCTACAAACTTTGACTCACCAGAGGGAGGGTTGGTACGATAATAAGGGAGGGAGGGTGTTCGCAGGAAAACAGGAAAATGGGTGAGAATGTAGAGGCAACATAAGCGGAGAGGAGTATGAAGTCCTCAAAATCTGAAAGTAGCCAAGTCTTTCTTTCCTACCAAGTATCTGTGTTGTATAAACGGCACGAGCACAGATTGCGGTAAATAAAAGTCAAAAGAGTCAATTTTCAGAAAGGTGGAATGAGAGTGTGAAGTTCAACACCTGATACTGATGTCATGTAATTAACTGATTCCCTGCAAGAAACCACCCGCAATTGCGACATCTTTCTTGGGTTGACTGTGCGTGAAAAGCAAAAGCAGATAAATGCTGGCTCTTCTGATACGGCTCCGATGCGTCAATTCTGAGGTGTGTGAAAGAGGCTTAGAAAAAAAAAAAAAAAAGAGCAGATACGTCAATCTGTCAAGATTTTTGGGCGTGCTCCTGAGATGTTGGCCGATGGTTAACCCTGTGAATCAGCAGGCTCTGCCCTCAACCACTCCTCTCTCTTCAGAACTGCTTATTTATTTCCCTATCGACCGTCGCCTCCCCATATTGCCAGGGTGACCTTTGGACGTTGGTATTGACATCGGTGTGCGACAACAACAAAAAAAAAAAAAAAAAAGGGGAAAGGTAGGTGAAAGGACAAGGATGAGCTAACGGCTGCATTTCTCAACGTTAAGTACAAGGAAGGTTGATTACAATCAGCATACAAGGGAGGCTTTGGGATAAATATAAACTCAGCACTTTGGGAGTGTAAACACGGCCTATCAGGGTCTTATTGATACAGTCCACACCCACTAAGATGACACCGTTGTGGTAAAACGACAAACCCAGCAGGCCTGAGGCTGGGTGTGAAAGCAGGGTTGGGCGCTGCATGGGAAAGTGCAATCCCAGAAGTGTGTGTGTGTGGGTGTGGGTGTGGGTGTGTGTGTGTGTGCATGTGTGTGTGTGTGTGTGTGTGCATGTGTGTGTGTGAGTGAGTGCGCGCGTGCGTGCGTGTGTGGTCTCTGAATGGCAGCTGTCAAGAGAATGAGTTTGGCTGGCCCAAAAACACAAAGTAAATTACACAAGACCTGGGAGAGGCAGGGAGGGTGCGGGGGTGTCAAGTTTTAGTTTGGCTAAAGGAAGGTTGGAAGATGATGTGGAACCGTCTTTGAAAAGTCGCTCACTTCATGTCATCATAAAATAGCGTCACATAAGAAAACAGATGACTGTACCTCCATGTACAGCGTAATCATTTGTTGTACATAACTAGGCTCAACCTTTAATCATTGTTCCGCTACTGTCCCTTGAAAATTTCGAAAGTGAGAAACCGCATTTGACATCCAGATCGAAGCCATCCAGGTTCCATCCAGATCGAAGCCAAATCGTTTCGACAATTATCATACCGTGAGTTCTCATAAGATCAGCGTTGAATTGGATGTAAGACTTTGTTACATTGTGTTCTCTTGAATCCGGAAGACAATCCAGATCTGTATTTTGTACGTGCTGTGTTCAGTCAACAACTGCTCAGTAAATACGTGAATGTTTACGGAAAGTTTCCCGCGAAACCGATTTTATAAAATGCATGGCAGACCAGTCGTTAGCGATCTTGCTTTCAAAAGAAACACTGTTGGTTACTTTAAGCATCCAGAATTATCTTTTGAATACTCCTTTTCAGTGAATATTATCGACATACTTAAAAAAAGTCTGAACATTTAACCAAATATTACTAGCCGCCCAAACACGGTTTTCCAGTTGCCACAAAGGAATTTTTAGTTGGCTGTGCCCTCCATAACTGAAATCATGGTCTGAATTCCGTAGTTCCTCCTGAAATTATATTTGGATGTATTCAACAGACCGAGTTCCCAATATTAAATCAAGGGGTCTTCAAAATTGCCTCTGAGTTTACCTCCTACAGTGACTATTTTTTGTCACTGCTGACTCATACAGCCAATTTGGTCGCTCACACTTGCGTTTCCCAGCTAAAAACGTTTGCAAGCCGCCACGTCTGACTCACAAAAGGGTCTCAAGTCATTCAAAGTACGTGCTTGCACCGCCACAACCTCTTCTTCGGCAAAATCAGCTCACTCAAATAACGCAAAATCAGCTCACTCAAATAACAGAGCAAATTTTAACGATTATAATTTGAGCCAATGACAAACAAAGGAGAGTCGAAGCACATCTTCAGGTGTGCAATTCAGACAAACACGCACGCACAGCATCTTGATGATCTGGGTTGGGGGGGGGGTGCGTGTGTGTGTGTGTGTGTGTCAAAGGGATGCCGAGTGGAACACCTGAAATGGGGCCCCGTTTCCTGAGAGATGGGGAGTGGGTGAGGGGGATGATAAAGCACAGTCTGCTTGCCAGCGGCCACATTGGCGAGAACAATCGTGTAGCAACAAGCCCCTTCCAAACGGCCAGAGACTGTGAGGGGGAAACAAGGGGAGGGTGTCTGTTCAGTGTGTATGTGCCGTACGGAGATGAGGCGGGAGGTGGGGAAAAAAATGTCGAGCTGGCTAGTGAATGATTCCCAGAGGTCTCGGCTATAGCAGCTCAGCTCCAGTCCAAACATGCCTGTCTGCTCTCAGGAGCCCGGCCAAGAGAGACCCAATGCGGCTGGCTAGCATTGACGTCAGGACAGCGCTTTTGGAACATCGCAGGCAAACAAAAGAGAGGCTTCGAGGCATGTATGAAACCCTCCGCCTCCTCTTCCTCCTCCTCCTCCTCCTCCTCTATGCAACCTTCATTTCGCCCCACTGGTGCTCCTCGCAGCACACTTGAATTCCAAAGCTTTACAAAAGCAACTTCTGTAGTGGTTTGTGATGAGAGACTCAAGAAAAAGCAGAGTGGAGGGGCCTCACTTGGAGCCAGGCTCGCATTGTTCCCTTTCACGTGCAGCGCTTGCGTGGTATGCAAAGGGAAGAGCAAGGTGTGTACTTGCCGAAGATGGCGCACGCGTGATGAGCCCGAGCTGGGTGGTGTTAATGAAGAAGTCGTGCTCTCTCTCTAAATACCGCGGTGTTGTTGGATTCAGGTGGTGCTATTTTGTTTCGTGGGAGGCTGTGGTTGCCATGCAGGGATGGGGGAAGAGCATGATAAGGAAGGGGCAGCGAGAGAAGGAGGAGGGGTTGTGAGAAGATGGCGATGGCGAGAGATGGGGGGATGGCGGATGCGGGCGGTGGGGGCAGGGTGTCAGGGAGTATTGGTGGAGGTGGGTGGTGGTGCTTGCAGTGGTGGTGGCTGATGAAATATTCAGTGAGGATGTGCCTCTGGCTCCTTCCCTCGTTTTTTTTTTTTTCTTTCGACATCTCTGGTTGACAGTTTTGTTTATTGGGGTCCCTGTGGTTCAAGGAACTCATTTGCAGTCGTTCTTCCTTTGCACACTAAGCGAAGTACGGCAAGTGGAGATAAGGAAGGAGGAGGGGGGGGGGGGGGGGTACGGAAAGAAGATGGAGGGAGCTGGCAGCGCCTCGCTGACATTCATGAACAACTGAGCAGCTTTGTGCTGGAGAAAAGAGGATAGAGGCTTGGAGGGCGGGATAGGAGGGTGGAGAGACGAGGAGGGGCCGAGTCGTCTCCTGCAGCCATATTCTGGTTGTTCGGATGAAGCTGCCCACCTGTCAAAGTCATTTTTATTAACCTGCCTATCGACTGAGATGGTTTGATCGCACCAGGGCGCTATTGACAGTCTTTGCGCAGACACGTACCAGCTAAAGACGCAATAATGCGCTTCTAAATGAAGAGGGGGGGGGGGGGATCAATGCCTTGCAACATGCCCTAAATCCTGAAAGC